CTGCCTAGGTTTATGGCTTCATTTCATCTGTTCTGTGGGACCCATCTAAGAAATGACTGTTATATCTCAACAAAAACTTAACATGACTTTAATTCTTTAGCAGCAATATCTCTGAAGGACACAAAATAAAGCTTAGAACTCCTTGAAAATGGGCATTTTCTTCTGAAAAATTAAATTAACAACACACGTCCCCCTTTCCAAAGCAAAAGAAATGTATTGAATTGTTGTTGAGAGGAAATAAAAAGAATTTCAAGAGTATTTGTCTTCTTAGCCTTAGGCAAGACTTTAGGCTTCAAAACCTATTCTGGCAACATTTCTCTCTTTTTAATTCAAGTGTAGCATAGTGGAAGAACATGGGCTTTGAAGTCAGAGACCTATGTTCAAATCCCAGTGCAATTACTCACCAGCTGTATGTCTTCGAAGACTTTAACCTGAGTCTCAGTCTCCTCATTTGTAAAGTAGGGATAATACCTCTTTATTACACAGGGTAGTAGAAAGAATAAGCGGTAATATACTTAAGGTGCTTATTTAGCACAGTGCCTGACACACAGTAGATAGCAAAAACTGATAGCTTCTCATCAATCTTTGTGTGTAACTATGTTCCTTAGTCTTTAACTCTTTCCTCCTTTTCTCTCTCTTCTCATCTTTCTTTCTTATTAGCCACAATATAGAAATGAAGCATTCTTCATTTTAGATAGGTTTTTTTAAAAAAAGATATACCATAGTTTCTTTCCACAATTTTTTTTTCTGGCAATTTCATTTATTAATTAGTTATCTTTATGAAAGGAATACAGAAAGTGCTACTTTTAAAGAGAAAGGGACGTGTCTTGCCAATGATGAAAAGTCAGGAAAGTTCTAGATCCTCTGTTCCATAGCCATAGCTTCAGACAGTATAACTGGTAAGAAACCAAAGGCAAGAGGCACTGGGTCACTGTGGCATATGCTCTTTTTAAAAATTCCATATACTCGATATGCTTGAAGAGTCCTGTCCTTATCATTATAGTTTGGAAACATTGTCGATCAATAGCCCAGAGCTTCACGTTGACAAGAGCTTTTAAGGAAGGCTCTCCAGCAAAGTATAATTCGTGATGTCATGCAAGTAGTGTGCCATATTCAGAAGAATTAAGGCAGTGGTTCTCAAGCTTTAGAAATCACTTAATCACCCAGAGGGCTTTTTCATCCACAATTTTTAAATAGAAACAACAGTTCTCTTCATTAAAAAGACAATCTCGACAAAACTGTCAGAAACAAACAAAAATTAAGTTTTAATTTACATGGCCTTCTAGTGATTTCTTTGTTCATGTGATAATACTGTCTCTGATAGGTTTAATAATCTTATTATTATATAATGAAAAGGTGGTTTATGTTAGGAAGGGAATGCCTTAAGATTACCTCAAAGTGAATGTTTGGCCACCTACATATAGACAGCAATTAAAAATAAATTTGAAACATAATGCTATTTTTATGTTGAGAAGTAGGTCCTGTAAATCTGTTTTCCCCAAACTGAATATCACTTACCAGACAGCCACTGTATAGGATGAAATAAATCAATGCTGCTGAAGATTATAAATACTGTGGTACAGATGGGTAGAAGCAGCACTGACCAGACAATACTTGTAACTATCCTCCAGCCCAAAACCTATAACAAAAAAAATTGCTCAATCATGAAGTCAGTTAAACTATTTCAGTTATGCAAATCTTATCTTTTTATACAGGATGTTAATCAACAATATTTATACCCATGTCATAGTCTATACAGCTATATTTTCATGTCACAAAATCAAGTCAATTAATCAATTGCCAAGAATTAGCTGACAGCTTGTTTTGCCCAGAGGTTCACAGGTACAGAAATTAGAAAATACAGTTTAAGNCCTCTGGCATCCCAAGCCAGCTCTTAACCAACGTGCCACTCGGCCGGCCCAATGTAAATATAATTAAGTATATGTATTCTTTTGTGATTATATTAGGGCTGATCCTTCTTTAAGAAATCTCAGAAGCTGAAGAACAGCAAAAAATTATAGTACTTAGGTGGAAGTTCTATCTTTATACCATGTCTGCGGATTCCTATAGCATCTTACGAAAAGCAGCCCATATGAATACTTGGTCGCCAACTGAACAACTTCAAATATACTGGCTTATTCAAATATTTTCAAAGTACAAGACATGGAATTGTACTATTTTGTGCAGCCCCTTGGTGTTACCACCTTCTCCTCTTGTCCCTCCCTCCCCCAATAAAAAGAGCATACACAGTTTCTGTACTATTCCTACTGCAGCTCTCGCTTTAATCATTACTCACAAGGGTACAGAGAGGCTGGGGCAGCAGGCAGACATTTCAGTAGATATGCAAAGAATAGCACCCACTCTGCAAAACCCCTGCACCGACTATCCCCCGTCTGGTGAACAGCACCCAGCTGGGCAGAAGAAACGCCACTGTACACTCATGGTTACAACAGTTGCCCCCAAAATATATTTTGGCCAAATACTGAATGGCCAAATGTTTTTTTGCTAATGTTGAACCTGAAGCCAAGGTTGAATATTACCATCAGAGAATAAACTTCTGGGATATAAGAATAAATCTAAAATTTCATCAAAAGAAATTACAAAAAGATTTTAGTAGTCAAATTTTACAAATTTGACATTGCTTGGTAGAAAACAATTTATTAGCCCTGCCAATTATTGGACTGCTCCTATGTTCACACTAGTGCACATCGCTGATGTTAAACAATGGTCACTTTCAACTAAGGTCCACAAAGGAGCACAGGTTTGGGAGGATCTCCTTCTCTAACACTTTCTTTTCTTCATTCTCTATATTCTCAATTGTCTTTGGATTAAAGGCAATTTACCATATTTCTGTACAGAATTTTGGAGGTTTTTCCTTGTGTAACTTTGAAGCGGCAAAGCCGACACTCTATTTTTAATTCATCTTCAAGAGATGTGAATGAAGAATTTCTACACAGGACTTTTTCGTCATATACGCACAGACTGTGGGGAGCCAGACCCTTTGCTGTGAGCACTACCTCCCTGATGTATGTGTATTTCCATCAGTTCTCATGGAAGCCACAAGCATGTTAAACCCAGAGAACCCTCACCCACCCTCCTCGTGATTTGTTTACACATTGCTCCCTCCCCACCAGACTGGGTTCTAGTGGGAAGAGGCTGGTGCTAACATTTTTGCTTCAAAGCCTAGTCCTCAGCCTGCCACAGAATGGGAACGAAGAGAATAATGGCACAGTCAGGAAGTAGTGGGAACAGCCTGGAGAGGCCTTGATGCCACAGTGAGAAATCTCTAGCAATCGCTCTCTCCTGCCGGAGGAGGTGGTTCTGGGTTCCAGAGACAATCTACCCAATTAGCTGATTTTTTAAAACCTAACTGAAAGATAGTTTAAACTATCCCACTCAAAGCAGTTGGAGCTGTTTGATTTATACACATCATGCCTTGTTCTGACAGTCACTGACATATTCTATACTTACTTGCACATCCTCAAGCTCGTGAAGTTCTTAGGTTCAAAAATAAGCTGGCAGTTGCACAGAGGTACTTTGTATGAAAGTGATCCGCATCCTCCCCCAGCCCTGCTAGGTCATAGCAACTGCCACTACCTGGCAGGGAGGGAAAGAGTGGAGCAAAGCTATATTCTGAGAGTGGCAGCAGGAAAGGGGCTACAGCTCATACATATGCTAAAGTCTCATGAAAACAAACCTCTCCTCTCCAAATGGCATTTTGAGGATCTCAGTCCTAAATTTTGCTGATCAAATCTTGAATCGATTAGATGAGGCCAGTTATATACACATATACCAAGGCGATTTTAACTCTGCCAAATTCTGACATAAGGTAATGCTCTAACAATAGCTTACCTGTATGATGGGAAATGGAAGATAGTTCATGTTGTTAATAAAATACAGGAGGCTATAACTATAGCCCATAAATGCTCCAGCCAGTAGGAAAAAAAGATGATACTCATTTAAGCAGGCTTGTGCAGCAGGGTTATCTAAGCTGAAGGGAAAAAGTTAGGTTATTAGTTCAACAGTCAGGGACAAATAAAGGCAAAGCTTTAACTGAATCAGTTAAGAAGTACCCCAGATTCTAACAATATGATTTGTTTTTGGTAAGTGTGGGCAAAAAATTCACAAAACCCTTTTCCCTGATACATGAGAATTTGACCTTTAGTTAACTCTCTAGATCTGTCCTCTGGAAACCTGACAAGGATAAGAATATCCTTTGTGATGGATAGTA